CTCTTTCCCCTGTCAGAGCCCTGTCTGTGCACCAGCACTGTCACTCAGGATACTATCTGCAAATTTCCCATGTACTTACAATCCAATGCATGTTGGGAAATTAAACCTCAAATTCCAGCAGGGTAAGATTGCTACCTTTGTTTTCCTAAACTGAAGGAAGGAGAGAATGCACTGATGATAAAGTTGCATCCCCATAATGAGCTAAATCAGGGCTTCAGATGATGTGTTGAAATAGCTGCCATTGCTCTGGGTAGAAAAGCTTTGTAATAAAAGACAAGCTTCTATCTGACAGGTTACCAGACCCACTCAAGTTATGCAAGACACAAGAATTTCAATTCAGAGGGTAAGGACAATTACTCCAGTTTAAATTAGGTGTCAATTTATACTCAGTATTGTACTAGCAATTGCATTTTAGATCTTATACACACAGGGGACTTGATTCTAGGGGCCTTCCCAGCCTTTCTGAATGTCTAAACCTAAATGTATGTCTAAAAGCCCATCTAAATGTCTGAGAATTTCTAAATGTACTTTATGTCCCTGTTAGTATTGTGGCATTTGAATCACCACTTCTAGGGTATCTAAGCACCTATGACCAGTTCTCAAAGATGTAGATAAGCACGTAAAGGTACCTATGGTTTTCAGAAGTGCCACTCTATTGATATCAGTGATGCAAGGCTGCTTTGAAAAACTCTCCTGCTTGCACCTTTGTGCACCTATATCCTGTAGAGATTCTGCTTGTTTGGACTCAGTACTATTGCATGGTAAAAACAAGGACTATTATATTGTTGGCTGTATAATTTTGCCTATGGTGCTAGAGTTGTAAAACACAAACAGTCCCATGGTCCCTGTCCTAAAGAGTTTACTGAGTACACATGCTAGACCAAAAGCTCTGAGTGGTGAAGGGGCTGAACCAGAAAGAGAGTACTTCAGAGTGCATCAGTGTTTAATAATGCAGCGTGATGCAGAGATAGCACAGCACACTTTGAAGGAACAAGTTCCTGGATAGAAGCTGTGTAGTCATGTCAGTGCAGCAAGCCGTCTAAGCTACTTAACCCTGCAGAGATGCAGTGGTAATTAACTTGTGTGGCACGATGTAGGACCTGAACTAATCTCTTGGCAGGGCAATGCTATGTGCTGCCTAAATACAGCAGCTCAGTCAGAGCAAGGATGAGGATCTCTAAGCATGGAGATTGTTCCTCATTCTCTGCTGCTTTGCCATGTTGCTGCACAGTATCCTTACAAATCTTGAACCATTTTTCCAGGAAAACTGCTTATACAGCTTTCTGATCTCAAGCAGGCAAGGTGATAGTCATGACTTCCCATGGTGAAATTTAGTGATACACTGTTTTAAATTTAATACATTGACAGCCAATTAAAGTAAATCTTTGCTAATCATCTGATTCCTAGTATCTGTTCCCTGATAGTTACTTGATCTGTATTTGAAACCAACCTTTGCTAGTTACAAAAATCAAACTGACTTTCAATGTATGAAGTATCAGACATAGCTATGCTATAAACTAGCCTTACACTAAAGAAATCGGTCACTTTAGCCAGAGAGTCACTAATGAGAAACAAGTTCATTAGAATTTCTATACAAGAGATGAGATTAAATTGGATTATGCAGTAGAAATGACCCAGTGTCTCCACTGATGCACCTTTTTTTTAATGTATTCCACTGTCTAATACTCTTATTTAAAAATGTTAAAATGATCATTTATCTTGTAATCAACTTCATCCTTTTCAATAGGGCATAAGCTGTTTTATCTCCCCTCTGTGATTCTTATGAAATGCAAACCTAAACAAAATGTTTGCATTCAAGATCTAGCACAGCTGATGGGGAGGAAACTGTGAGTCAGTTTCTGCTCCCTGCATGGCCAAATGTATTAACATAATATATTAAAATTTGCTGATATTCCTATTCATTCCTCTACTGCTGACTAGAGAAGGCTCCAAGCACTATGATTCAGGTGCTGATTTATGTCAGGATCCAACTTCCCCTTAAGGGGAAAGTTCTAAAACTGCATAGAGGACAAAATGCTGATACACAGTATGCAATAAGGTAGTGGATCCATGATGGATCTGATTGAGTTAAATCTGGGTGAGTTAAGGGCAGAACCAGAGGCACACCTGCATCAGCACCTTGGCTCTCCCAGGCCACTATCACACACTACTACTGCTGCAGCCGCTATCTTCCTTCAAGGACCCAAGCCCATGATCTGTGCCATTAGTGTAAGGCTCCTGATGTGGTGGTACTGCTCTGCATTCCAGTGCAATTCTTGGCGTATCCAGAGCTAGGCTTTGAGCTACTAGCAAAGCCATTTTATCTGTACCTGTATCTGAATTCCAAGGCTGGGATAAATTCCAAGCTCAGCTCCACACTAAATGATTTCTCTTGTTCTTGTACAAGTTTTCCAAGAATCAGATATCGGTTCAAGTTCCATGGCTTGTCTTAATCGAGGAACACCTCTAAATACTTCTCTTAAAAACTTCTTAAAGCCACATTCTCTCTCTAGCCTGAACTGATTTTTCCCTGCTGTAATTTCCACCACAGTTTATGCTTGGTTATATTTGTATTTATGAAGTTGTCTTTATTAACAAAAACAGCTGGACACTACTCCTGAATAGAAACTGAGGGTTTCTTCTTCTTTCCAACTTTCCTTTCCATGAATCACATGTTTGGCTGTAAGGAACCAGAGCCTGGCTCTGCAAGTCCCTCACATTGATTCTCAAAAGCATTCATTACTTCTTCATCACATGCACAAATGGCAAGTGCTCTAGCAAAACCTTTTCTCTTTTAAAAGACAAGTCAGAATGTCTTTACTTTGTTATAAGTGTCCTTAGTGCTATGAGCCTTATTATATAGTCCTTCTATTGGCCCGATTCAAAAAAGCAGTGCTGAACTTTTCATACTCTCTACATGCAAATACAGGATTCTATGAGCTTAGATGAGATCCGGTCTTAGTGGGCCAACTTCTCACACATCCTGCTGTAACTCATCGCATGTGCCTGGCTTCCTAGAAGAGTTGCTGTTTTGTGTCTAATAAATCATGCACTGAGCACAGCCATCACTTCTATTTATGAGAGTCTGTCTTTGACAGACAGATGAAAGCACCTTCCTGGTTTATAATCATACCTGGGGGTGAATTGTGACTTATCAGTTTTTATTAAATGAAGCAAAAATAAGAGGGAAAAAACAACTATATAGATACAGGGGCAGGAAATTTGCAGGACAAAGTATGCCTTACTTTTTCTTTATATATATAATACAATGTTATTCATTAATGGCTACACTTCAGAGCTGACTACAAAAATGTAATTCAGGATCCAATTCTCGGTCAAGTTACATGTCAGTTGAGCAACAGTAACTGTGCTTGTGGGTTCCCTCCCTCACAGGAGATGGAAGGTCACAGGAAGATGGAAGGCCTTTCGCTGTGAGCTAAGCTAAGTCATATCTCCTCACCTTTGCCTGAGATCACATAGCAAATGGCTGCTGGAAATTACCTTGCCCATAGCAAGCCTGTTAAGCCGCATAAATCTGGAAGTAAATCTTCATCCTGAGTTTGCATAATGTTTGGGAAGGGATCTTCCTTTTGGTCTCTACAGAATCTAGTACAATAAAGTCAGACTACAGACTGGCACTTCTACACGCTGATGAAACCTCCACCCTAAATTTAGCTGTAAAGCTGGATGAGACTTTTCCCCTACGTGTGTCCCAAGGTGTTGCACAATTACTCTCCTAACTCATACTGCTCTGCTTCATGTACAGGAGATGGAGAATTATCATGGGAACATGCTGACGGAGATATCTTCCGGCAGCCAGCCAACAGGGAAGCTGTAAGTGTGGCCTACAATTTAAAGACATATTTTCCTGATATGCATGCCAGTACATTGGGGAAAAAAAAAACATAAAAGGATGATTTTGGGCCCCTCACTACAAGAAGGACATTGAGGTGCTCGAGCGTGTCCAGAGAAGGGCAGTGAAGCTGGTGAGGGGTCTGGAGCACAAGTCTTATGAAGAGTGGCTGAGGGAACTGGGGTTGTTTAGTCTGGAGAAGAGGAGGCTGAGGGGAGACCTTATCACTCTCTACAACTACCTGAAAGGGGGTTGTGATGAGGTGGGTGTTGGTCTCTTCTCACAGGTAACTAGCAATAGAGTGAGAGGAAATGGCCTCAAGTTGCACCAGGGGAGGTTTAGATTGGATATTAGGAAAAAATACTGAGAGAGTGGTCAAACACTGGAACAGGCTGCCCAGGGAGGTGGTGGAGTCACCATCACTGGAAGTGTTCAAAAAATGTGTCGACATGGCACCTCAGGACATGGTTTAGTGGGCATGGTGGTGTTGGGTTGACGGTTGGACTTGATGATCTTAAAGGTCTTTTTCAACCTTAATTATTCTGTGAGTCTGTGATTCTGTGAATATCTACGGCTTCATCCTGGGTTCTGTGAATCTATCCCAAAACAGGTTTCTTCTACTTCTGCAAACCCCTTAATAAACTTAACCTGTATTCATGAATAATGCTCAATGCCAGCTCCTGCAGGCTCTGGATTTGGTCTTTGTTGTATATGCTCTATAAGAATAAAATTCTACAGTGTTTTGTTTGCTATGCAAGCACCACTTTTAAATCAGAATGGCAAACACTTGCTTCCCAGTTGACATACACACATCTATATATTTACTTTAGGGGCTTTACTACCTCTGGGGTTAACAACTTACTCCTCAAGAGATTATTTTTATAACTGCATTTGGAGAGAATATGAAGAGCTTTTAAGCATTAGGTGCGCTACCTACATACATGAACCAACAGATCTTTGGATTAGTGAGAAGAATCATGCCTTATAAGATAACTGCTCTAAATACACATTATCCTTTCATGCCCATGGGTATTTTGGAGGGTAATTCTCTGAAAACAATCAGTGTTTTTGCTCTAGAAAACATGCTGTACACTACTACTACTACTTTACCTTGCAAATAAAATGAGACCTTCCAGTCTGTAAGACAGATTCTAGTAAGGTTCTGCTCCATTTATGCAAGGCTGGCTAACCTTGGCCTGGCATGAGAGTTTAAAGCTGCAAGCAAACAGGAAGCTGGACAGTCATTCTGGACATGCTTTGCCACTGGAGCCCCAGTAGAAAGCAATTTTGATGAGGAAAACTAGACAGGATTGCAATTCTCATCTTAAAGTAAAGTAGACATCAGTAAAGTAGATCTCTAGCTCTGAACGCCATTTTTAATACGTGGAGTGAAATAAGCACTTCTGGGTTGTGATTCATCTCCTCATGATGCAGAGATCCACAACAGTTCAGGTTCTAAAATTGCCTCTCTGTTCATTGACTTGATGAGGGACTTCAGATGACCAACTTAAAGACCCCTACACTGACATATACAGTCTGGTGAGATGAGTTACCACTGCATATGCATAGGTGACTTCATTACCATGTTAACTATCTGCAAAACCTGAATGGCCTTTATTTAATATGGTGCCATTCATTACATTTAATGATGTTTGATGAGAGTGGCAACACTCTCATT